TGATATCTTCTATTCAATTATTTGTTTATTTGATTGCTCCATTAGCCGAAATGGTATCGGAAGAGGATATAGCTAGCAATATTCGACTTGAGAGCGGTCTGAAAATCTGGCAAGCTCTTTGGCGGGTTAGTACAACCTTTTTTAATTATAATCGCGAGAGTACCACTTTTATTCTGCTCATTGGAGCTTCTCCTCTTGAAATTTACTATCTTGGAGACGAACGTCAAACGTTCAGAAGGGTTTCTGTAGTTTCTCACTCACATCAGTCAGAATACCTGGGAGAGGTGGTAGCGACAGTTTCTTTTGGAGTTCCTCAACAAAGCTGCTTTTTTCGTGTTGAATGATGTGCTCTTTTGAATTCAACTTCTTCAGCCTGAACTTTTATTAGATCGTCCTATTCAAAAATGTGGAGACATATAGAGGAATGGCAGAAAAGCAAAGGGGATAGGGCAGCGGGCTACTATACCATTTGGAAGCTAGTACCTTGAGCTGTGCATCTGTAAAATTTGGCATACCTAACCACAGAAGAAGCTCTTGAGGGATTGAAAAGAGGAAAAGAATCCCGAGTGGGTAACATCAGCACTGGATATTCGAGTTAGGCGTCATAAGAGGGAAGTGCGCTCCTCAAATTTGGCCTGCGCCGGACCAAAAGATATCCCTGCTGCAACTGCTGCCCGAGTTATGTCCGATAAACTGAGGATGGTCAGAGAGTGTGCGCATGGGTACCTAATTTTCTTGTAGAAGCACGAACGCAGTACCGATTCTATGCCTCTAGCAGTAATGTTCTCAGCATGAGATGTCATTCACGACTGTGAAAACGCACCCCGGCCCTAGATGAAATATGGGTGTTAGACCCCGAGCCAATCGTTAATTTTGTATGAATGCAGATGAGAAGCCGCCCGAGTTCTACCATGAGGGGTTACGTGGGCGCAAGTGGATGATCATCATAGCGAAGGATTCCTACACTGTGGCTCTATACAGGAATAAAATCGTAGCTGTCGGTGTATATTGCCTGTTCCTCGGCAATCAGATCGACAAATGGATGATACCACACAACTACAAGAAGGCCACCGTTGCTCGTCATAGTGCCAGACCCCGAGTAACTGTATTGTAGGGCAGTGCTGGGACACAAACAATACTGAGACCTGGGTTCAATCGCCCCATTCGCCCCAACATAAAAGCCAATGCTCCTTTGCGCTAGTTTCTTCTAAGAAACATTATAGACAGTAAATAGCTTTTGATACAGCTGTCTTACTTTCGAAACGAAGGCCATCATAATTCACTACCCCTTTCTACTGAACTGTACGCTTCTGGTTCTAGCTGAAGGTCTAATACTGGGAATCGGCAGCCAGAGTTGAGCAAGAGCGATCGAGAAAGATCAGTAATAGCGTAGTATCCTTTCTGAACTTTGTTCCTTTCAATGGTGAGTTCAGGTCTGGGAGTAGTACTGTAAAAAGATTTTCGGAGAGGGAGGTTGGCAGCGACACCGTCACTCATCCTTACGCTGTGCCCTGTTTTCGATGACCCCCACTCACTTCCTCTCTATGGGTTACTTCTTCTTAGCAGTATCCCGCATCCTCCGGAAATGTTCTTTGAAACAGAATCAGGGGTGTTTAACGACGTGGGCACCTGAATCACCTTCTTCGCTACTGGTTCTTTCATCTACATAAGGTGCAGCAGTATATAGCTAGCACTGCTAACGATCAAGATATTCATGAAGGACATCTCCTGGCGCTTTCTGATACCGTGGATTTGTTGAAACTCGTCTGCAGATGGTTAGCTGATCATGAGCGTTTTCATTTGTTAGGGGTTCTCTCATCACTGAGGCATTACATTGTTGTAGTAATCTTTGACTTGAATGTTTTATGTCACATTCAAAAGTTGGTCCTAATTTCGTTGTTTCAGTATCGCCAACCGGATGTCTGGTGTTTCACAGCCCCAGTCAAGCCACGACGAGATGAACTGCCACAGGTGACGTTTCTACGGCGGCCAACTACTACCTCAATTCCTCAGAGCCAAGGCATCTATCTGGGTGAGTATTCATTTCTCTGCTATTTGTTTTTGGCTGGCTGTTTGCCATTAGAGCAAGAGCAGTGACGCAGATAGCTATTACCTCCCAGTTTATCTGAACAGATATCACCGATTTGGAAAAGGCGTGACTTCGTGCTCCATTTCAACTTGACGTAGGAGGCATTTTAGTGGATTACTCCCACTTAAGACAACTGTCATCCGTTGTCTTGCTGCGCTCAAATTAAGCGCGCAGCCACGCCTTTCCATCTTTAGGATATGGACTGTGGGCATATCGTGAGCCTGTGACTGTAATTCTGTCGATATAGGCGAAGAGGAGAAACCTCGTCGATTATCAATAGTTCCGCCACCGAAGCCGCCACGAACTGATCGAGCCGTTCTGGATGAGAAGCGTCGTCGTGAACTTGAGAAACAGCGGGAAAAGGAGCGAAAAGAACGAAATGGGAACGGAAGCACAGCTGTATTGCTTGAGTTCGTTTTTAAATATGGAAAAGATTTTTTGATAATTTCTTCACTACCACATATGTAGCTTCGCAGTCGACCAAACCCGTTTATCTTCTTTCCTTCTATGCGGCCAGTGCACCTCCTGCCGTTTGAAATCCCCTCGTTCCAGCCGCTCTCGCTGGGGTCCCCAACCAAGGTACAGCATTGTTGAAGGGGATACATTGGGGGTCGTACTTGGTCGCTGAGGCGGGGGGGGATCGTATTTGGTGGTTGTTGTCAGTACGATCTCCCCTGGAAAGAAAAATCTTTGGGTAAAAAACCGGAGAATATGGAAAATTGGTGGGTAGCTTTTGGGGAAGAGGGGGAGGTCGTACTGACACCACCATTTCACACATCTCGACCCTGTCCCCAACGTACGACGTGCCTCGCAAAACTCCTGTAATTCTATACTTCATAGCGCTATTTCCCCTTCACTTCTTGTTGATCGGATGAATCTCACGTCAGCCTTTGTTACCTTTCGATTGAGTTTTTTTTGCAGCATCCACAACCCTTTCTACTTTTCAAGACATCCCTGTTCTATGAATCTCTCTGATGTGATGATCATGTCGAAGCGGCCACGTTAAGGCAGCGCCCGCGTTCATTTGATGTTCCTACGCCCTCCTTAGATATCGTAGCGACAAGGGTGGAGGATGTACTAATTTCGCAGCTCAAAAATACGAGAGGATGGCGCCACCCGCTTGTGAAGAGGATGCCGCCCCGCCCACCTGGCTGCCATAACTTGGCTTAGCCTTTGAAGGCTGAGCCCGCTTTCAAGAATAATGAGTTATGGAGCTCATCTAATACATAATTCAGTATTGAAGAAAAAAAGCAAAAAGAAATCATGGGAAATGCCTAGAACAACAGCCCTATGCTGGCCAGGTAGGCGGGGCGGCCGACTCTTCACTAGCGAACGACGCTATCCTTTCGCCTTTTTGAGATGCAAAACTAGTACATACTGCATCCTCATAGGGAGGGCTATGATATCCAGAGAGGGCGCGGGAACATCAAATGAACGTGGGCGCTGCCTTTAAGACCAGACACTGGGTTATATGTAGACCCTTGGGAAGTTAGCTCTACAAATCATACAAGCTCCAACATTTTTGATTCTCATTAAGTAGCAGTAAACGCAGCTAAAACTTTATCTGCCTCTTTTGCATTTTTACTCTTAAGACGGCTCCTTTTTTCTCGCTATTGATGAGAGATTCCTATTCAGGAAGCCCTCGACATCGCAACATCTCGTCCATGATCAACTGCCATCACCCTCTACAAGTGCTCCATGTATAGTTCGAAGTGTCAGCGAATATAAAACCGGTGAATCGATGACTCAGGCTCGAGATCGAATAGCCAAGAGCAATACGACGAATGCCTTCGACTTGAGTCCTAGTCAGTTTGCCCGTTTCTCATTTATTTTGTTTGCTTCATGTACTATTTGTATTCCAGTATTATTTACTTTTATATGCTTGTCTATCCCTCACCGTACTTCTCTAAAGAATTCTATTTCAGCCTCCGACAACTCGTTACAAGTGCTCGATGAAGTCGATTCAGCGTTGAAGTTCACCGAGGTAGGCGTCTCTCATGGGCGGACTCTTCGCCTAATCTAATGTTCCTATAACTTACGTGGTTTTTTGGGATTTTACCGAAAAAATTGGTTGTAGGATGGTAACTCGCTGTCCGGCGTTTTCTGCCCCAGTGACGCTCCACTGGTGAATCTTCATGATATTTGTAGTGGTTGCTCTTTAGAAAACAGTGAGAACGGCTACGAATCCACCAGCGTTGAGGTTTGGTTCTGATTCTGAAGCAATTGAAATTCCATTTGAAGTAACAATAATTAATTTGGATAATAACAACTAATATCTCCTTGATCATCACTTCGTGCCAAATTTTTCACACACATCTCACATCTTGAGACTGGCGTATAGGTACTCATTGACGTAGCCGGAACCAACTAGCAAGGGGATTTTCGGGGTCGTAGAGCCCATTTTCAGAACGGTTGTTACATGTTGTAGAGGTTCGAGGACCACAAAAGTGCACTTCTTCTCGCTGCGCGGTCATGAGAACGTCAAGAAAGCTGAACTATGGACTGACGACTGGAACCTCCTAAGTGGCAAAGTTTCACATTTACGCAATATTAATTTTTTCTGTATTCAGATGTGTCGGGACTATTTGCCTGAGAGAAACTTCTTCGAGAACGCCACTATGTTTTGTACGAAGAACAAAGGGTTTTGTATCGCCGGGTTCCCAGTGATTCCATAGGGCTTCTTTCCGCCTCTTGCTGGGGTTTACAGGAGCGCGCAGCGAAAAGGAACTACACTTTGTGTTCCCTACCTGAATCTTTACAACGCGCAACGGGACGCTTCGAAAATGCGTACCACGACCTGAAAGACCTCCTTATGAGGAGAACGCAAGCACTACACTTCAAAACGTCCCAACTGAGACCTAAATGGTTTTCAGTAATGGAAGAGCATGAGTGAGCATCCTACGCGATGAGTAAAAAGATACAGTCAGTAGTGCGCAGCAGGCAAGCAAACTGCGCGCGGTAGGATATGGTGGTAAGAGACTGAAGGAGGGGCGATGAGAGTTTTCTCTTGGTATTCTAACCACAAGATTTATAAATTATTAACGTGGGATTCTATCCGAGGGTGGGACCTGCTCATCCTATGCGAGGAGTTTACTTTGCAGTAGATAATAACGGAATGTGTCTTCGAGTAACTTTTACGCTGGAACCACTAACCCCTACCATCATTACCATGACTTCATAGTACATAGCGCGATCAGGTAGTTTAGTGAATGCTTCAAAGATTCAGGCATACTGTTGCGGGCTGTTTCTATTTCTATTTATTGCATGTACTCTAGATATGAGGTAGAAATGTAAACAAAAACCACACCAATAAAAAGGAATACAGAACACCATAAATGACCATAAAGGAGAACACAGCAACTATAAGTAAAACTAATGATGTAACAAAAAAATGAGAAAATAAAAGAGGTTGGGGCTATCTGGTCAGCCTCCAAGAAAACTATAATCGGGAATGGAGGAAAAGAAGCAGAGCGTCCTCAAACGTAGAACTTGTGCAAGAGATGCTTAAGTCGGGCAATATTGTTGGGCATAGGGAACTTTTTAATAAGCTTTGTAAACTCTACGGAAGCTCGCACTGAAAAGAAATTAGATCTAACACTTGTCCTCGCCCTGGGCACAGATAGTTTGGATTTAGCACCTCTGGTAAGAGAGGGGAGTAGAGTGAAAAGATCACGCCTATCAATAGACACTTTGCCCGTCAGTATTTTGAACACCATCAACAAATCTAGTTTCTTTCGCCGGCATAAAAGAGAGTCAAGTCTAAGCATCTTATTCTAAGCATTTTATTTGTTGGTAATCGAAATGAAAAAACCGCTTGATCCTTCTTCATCGTCCATCTAGGAGCACCTCACATAGCCCTTCTTCCCCCAATATTCCAGTCACCCAATATTCCTTCCAACTTCCTCTTTACCACCCACTATTCCAGTTGATCTGCGATCGCTGTCACAAGCCAATTTTTCGCGATCGATTGCGGCCGAGCGGTTGTCAATGTAGGGACACCAGTACGTTGCATGTCGTCTCACGGGAAACGCCACCTGTTGTTCTCACAAGGGGTACGGTATTTGTAGAGTCAACTGTGATTGGTCAATCTTGATATGTTTGATATGTTTGACTTATAGCGTCTACTGCCGACGATACTGCATCGTCATCCAGTCAGCATACAGTAATTCCAGCTCGTCCCCCACCAAAGCCGTCAGAACTGGCGTCGCAGTATCATACAGCGGAAACAGCACGAGCTCAACCCGGTGAGTTTGGTTGCCGGTTTGTTGATTGGACATATAGATTCCTCTCTATTGGTTTTAAAATAGGAAGAAAATTCGGGAAGTAGAAGTTTACCTGAATTCAAAACTCAAATAAAATAGAAATGTGATTTCAGTTCATGTTCCTGGTCCGTCAACATCTTCTAGAATAGTAGATGCCACTGGAAGTACGGACGACGATCTGGAAGACTGCTGCCAACCGGATCCCATGGTGAGTCACCTGATTTAACCCCTGAAGGGTTCGTTAGTGAACGAAGAGAAGGGTTGGCTAGATGGTTTCCATTATGCTTGTTTCTGCAATACATTCCTCATCTGAGGGCGAGAAGAGCTCTGTGTTGTTACAAACCCGGGGTCGCCAAACTCGCAACTAGTAGAGTCGTTTTCGCTGCAGGCGCTGAGGCGTGTTAAAGGCATGAGGAATAATAACTCTTTCCTTATCGGTGCAGGGGTGCTATATAGCGGAAATGTGGCAAGCAAGCGATGTGAAACGGTCAAGAACCTGCAAAAAGCCTTTGTTCTACACGACTCAGAAAGCAATTTCGGACGAGTTTCCGTTGGCATCGTGCCACTAACCGCTACGGTAGATAAGGATGTACTCATATATCCATGCGGCAACGCAGCAGCTTCTGATATCGCTCCAGTTCACACTGTACTTCCGCAACTGAAGCGACATTCATTCATCTTTCATGACTCAGGTGATGCAAGGACCTTGTCTTACTTTCGCTTACCGAAACGTAGGTGTCATGGCAGTCGTTTTCATTATGCTTTGTTTAGACCGCCCACTATGACCTATCCGCTTTCCTTTCGTACCGAAAACACTTCAGCGGGGCCGAGCTTAAATAGCCACCCTTCCTTACCGTTGTGACTTGTGATTCTGCGTTAAAAGAGGTCGAATGTAATTCATGGCTAATTTCAGGTGGCAACCGTTTTAGATGTCGCTGTTATTCGTGCCTTATTAATCACTCACTGGCAAGAGCAAGGAATTTATTGGGCCATGCGTTATTTGTTGAATCGATTAGAGCAAATTCAGGTTTGTTCGCCGTTTTTGTGACAGTACGGTTCCCTTGGAAGGACATTTCGACCTTCTTCTGTACATTTTTTCAATTTTTCTCATTCAACCAATGGAAATCCCTTTATGTGGTTGGTGGTTCATTATGCGCATTGATGAGTTTAGAAAAAATGTTCTTCGACGAAAGTTGAAAGCAAACAACCATCTCCTACATACCTTTTGAGCTATTCACTGACGCTCCTCGCTCGGAACTCAGAAGTTGACTTATAGAAGTCATTGAGTGCTATTTTGAGGTCACCATAAATTTTGAGATCTCTTTCTCGCGAGGGGTGCTTTGGTAGCAGTGAATTTTTGACGAGAACGCGCTGGGTCTAAGAAATACCGATCGATGCACACACCAACTTTTGCTACCTACTCAGCCAGTCAGTAGATTAGATAAATAGGCCTTTCCACATATATGTACTTAAGCGGAAGACAATGACAAGATGCTGGCATCATCTACAGCACGACTGCACCGTTTGTTGATAAGGGGATTTTTATTCCGTTCCAAAGAAGCCAAATTTAAATAAATCTCTTTCATATGTTCCCAAGCAATATTTTTATACGCAGCTTCTTCTTCAGGCCTGAATTATTCCTTAATAGTAAAGTTAGACAATATTTGAAGAATGTTATGGGTGGAGGTTGTGGTGGTGCAGTGGCAGGTGGCACGCTTAACATCCTTCCAGTATTGGGCATCTTATCAGTAACCGCTACGGTAGGCACGGCTGCATGTGTGCACATTCTTTATCCCTGAGAGGGAGTAGGCTGCTTTTGGACGGGTTTTCGTGGGATACTTCAATTTGAAACAACTGCTATCTTGTTCTGTGTTGATGTAGACATGATTACGACTGCTCCAAAATGACAATATCTCACGAAAACCTGGGCCGCCGCCATTTTGAAATCAAGTGAGCAGCCACGCCCACACGATCTCAGGGATTTCGAGTATACTCACATGTCCGTGCAGCAATGCAGCCCCTTCATACAATCCCTTCGCTTCATATTTTACTTAGCAAATGAAGCAATACGAGCATCAGGTACGGTCGTCCATTTGTGGGCGGGCGGGCGTGGTGGGCGTTCGGGTCGGTATGTTGTAGCTTGATAGGGCCCTTATAAGGGTACCTTCCTTGGAAAAGGCGCTACGCAGCGCCTGCTCAGGGTCGCGGAATTCCGTCCTGCCAGGCGTATTGACTATTATTATTATACTATTATTATTATTATTATTATTATTATTATTATTATTATTATTATTATTATTATTATTATTATTATTATTATTATTATTATTATTACTCATCCTAGAGATTTATCGTGCCAACTGCCTTTGAGTGTACAAGGAAGTTTCGATTTAGCTCGCGTGGGCTCGCCTCTGCAAGTGATGAGCTCGTCATTCCATTTCAAAAAGTAGAAGCTCACCAAGGTCATACCCTATCATAGCTGGGGTTCTGCGCGATGACTGTACAGGGGGGAGGGCAAAAAAAGTCACTTCGACCGAGTCACATATCAGCAAAAGTTTTCGCTGCCCAGACAGAGGACGTGGATACGAGTACCAGGGCGGAAGATACCCAAGATGTTCCTCGATAAGCAGGAGCTGGCTCTCGCCCATCACCTTTACACCAAAATATGAAGTCATCTCCAGTCGCAGCCTGACTGGAGAAGACCTTTGGAATTCATGTCACCTCCAAACAGCTGCGAAACTTCTAGTATGGAGTCACCCATGGATAGCTACCTGGAGACCAGTACTCTCGATCTGGATGACCTCCAACATCGAGCAGCTCCGACAACGTCGCCACGGTCTAGGACATCATCTTCACCACAGTCGCCAAGGCGCGGGTTGATGGTATGGACCGGACGTACCTGGAATGGAAAGACCAATATTTTCTTCGTGGACCCCGGACATAAGGTGAGCGCTGGCGGTTACATTGAGCAACTCGTGAAGAATATCCTCCTCACATGTCGTCGCCCGTACCTTCTTGGAAACTTTGTACTGCTACAGCATTGGGTGCCACCACATGGAATCGAAGGGCGTTGGAGAAACTCTCGCCTACTTGGAATGGAAGGGGGCTGAGTACCTAAAGATGGAATATCCAAGTAGGTCACCTGACCTGAATCCCCTCAATTACCCGGTTCGGGCGGAGTTCAATAGGGTGGTCTACGGTGGCGGAGAAATCGACTATCTCGCTGATCTCAGGCACCACATCGCGGTCGCGCGCCAGAATCTCTCGATGGCGCTCGTCCAGAAATCTGTGGCGGAGTGTCATGATAGTATTTAATATGGTGGTGAAAATGTCCGATGAGAATTTGATAAAGTGTAATTTATAGCGCCTCGAAAGTCAATGAAGGAAAGTGACTTTTTTTGCCCCCCCCCTGTATGTATTGCAATGACACTGAGGGATATCACGCAGTAGTGAAGGGTTTGTTGCTGTAGTTGAGATAGATAATTGGTCACGAGGTGTAAGGCATTGTTCACAGCCTGCGAGTGTTTCGCGGGGAATGTTTTGGTAGTGTGTTTTGGTAGTCTACGTAGTCAAATTATCAGTGGTTCTATGAAAAATCAGCTTCGTGTCATTAAATGTTATTTGATTTATCAAATTCAATTTTGTGTTATCTCTAACTTTATCAGCAGGTGTCATGTCAATCTGTAAATTAGTCGAACAACAAGATTGAATTGCAGAATTACATAGCTATTCATGGTACTAGGAATCGAAGCAATTCACTACCATCTGGAGAGCGAAAGCCCAGCACATCGGTGAGTACCGCAGCAGTATTGGATTTGGACAAAGTCCTTCAAACTCGAACCGCAAGCCTCTGTAATAACTTTCCTCGGACTGACAGTGGAATCTTGACGAGAGATACAATCGTCATAGATCCCGCGAACCACATCTTTATTCGGTGCTGTACAGTCATCCGTCAATTTTTTTTAGATTGGGCTCTTATCCTACAGTAACACCACGTGGGAGAATTTTCAACTGAAACGTGAGGACGATGACCGAACGAAATTGCACGTGGCATTCAATGATAACCGGTGAGTCGCTCTTCCTCAATGAGTACCTAAATACCTACCTACATAGCCCAATGGCCACATTGGAAGGGCAGAAAACAGTTCAGTTTTTTTTCTTGTTTCAGTTTTTTTTTCTGAGTTTCACTTTTTTGAACCAGTCATTTCACCAATCATCATCAATCTTAGAATTCGTGATTCTCAATCGCACATGCAGATTCTCAGAATGTACGCTACAGAACTCAAACTCTTGAAGGAAACAAGAAACTCTCTTACAAATTTCTCAAGCTTTCAGTTCTTCTCCAGTGAACGCTTTGAGAACCTGTTTTTTTTCATTCACAATACTCCTTTACTTATGGGGGCTCTGGAACAGCGCTTTGTTGAGATTCATGATTTGTGATAATGAAGAGCTGTTTGCTGCGAACATATGGGAGCGCTTTGAAGAACGGTCCGCGATCAGGTACAGAAACTGTGAATATGGCACTGAGAGGGCAGCGCGGCCAACAACCTTATACCGGTTTCGCGGCAAAAATTTGTAAGGGAGGGACGCTAAAGCACAATATAGGTTCAGTGACGCGTCCTTTTTTTTCTGACTCCTCCTCCAAAGCCTTCCAGTGACAAGCGAAGCTGCAGGACGAAAAAGCATGAAGATCGTCCCTTGTACGGTCGTAGAGTTCTATCGGAGAATCAGCTGTGCGGATGGGCGTAGTGTTGGAGATGGAGTCAATTAGGCACGTGCAAAGTGGGATCGGAAGTTTTTTTCTGCTTTTTCCTTCACTGTCGAATAACTCAATACCTTTCCTTCTATATGCAAACCCTAATCCACTATCTTTGATGGCGAGTGATCGCGAACTTTGCCTTGAGAACGTCCACACATAAACTCTCTCTGTAGAGCTCATAGTTTTCTCTGGCGTTTTTTATTTTCAGGTGACTCTGTCTAAACGCTGCCATTTCAATCCTGCTCTTGTCGTTTGCTAACCGTTTCTCAATGTTTTGCCCTTGACTGCCCTTGCATTTGCTAACCGTTTCTTTTCCGCTTTTGCACGAGGCAACTAGGCCATGCACCCCGTTTACTTTCACAATTCCTCTTACTTGCTTTGACCGCATAGATCAAGGCTTCCTCAAGTCTACTGATGCTCACTGTGTGGGCCCTACGACTAATGTAATTTTCCTCACTGCTCTTCGCCCTTGGTTTTCAATCATAGCCACATTCGCCGTCCGATTTTTCGGCTCATGTCACCTTTACCTACTTTCTTTTGATTTGGGGGCTCTTACAGGCAATTTTCGACGCTCAGTTGTCATGCATGTTTTTAATTGAAGTTATATATACTTCCCTTTACTGATCTAACGATAAGTATCGCTATTCGGTATAGGTCATTCACACGCTTCTTGGCATATTTCCCAACATCGTTTATTTTCCTTTAACGCAGCTCAAATCGTTTGTCATTATCTTCGTAGCGGATGATGGGGCGCGTCAGTGAGGCAAGGTTTGGCGCACCGCCAGCTCATTTCTAAAAGTTGTTGAGGCGGCGCTGATGCGATCGACGTGATACAGTCTTGTCGCTTGCTCGATGAACAAGTGGTGGAAAGCGGGTTTGGCTCCTCGCCAAACCCATCCCTCCTGGCGCGCCCTGTCTCGGCAGCGAATATGACCATAGCGCTCGCTCCTATACATCATCTTTCCTTTCGTACACTGCCTCTCGATGTCGCTCAGTCTCGCGCACCATGTCATAATTTGCCGTGGCGAACTATCTATCGGTTGTGGTTTCGGCTAAATTGCAATTAATAACGTCGCAACCAGTCAAGGCGCTTAAGAGTGTTGGAGTGAGCCAACTTGCACCGTTTTCGTCATTGGTTCTTTTACCCCTAACAGATCACCATTGGAAGAACAAGACAGCCGGAGACAGGCTCATTCCGCCCACCTGACACCGCCCAGACTGATCGCGACGTGTATAATATCAGATTCAGACTTTTGCTTGTCATGCTCTAGAATAGAATAGAGCAGAACCGTCCTTCGTCGATCTTCATCGACTGCAGTTGGCTGTCCCTGGCTGTCTATTATTTATGCTCTTTTCTGAATGCTTATGTACATCAGCCTTCAGTCTTCTCGTAGAGGGCTAAGATGCTTTTTTTGGCAGTCGATCGCTTCCAGTCGTTTCCGGCCATTTTGCCTAATGCGACCAGGGAGAGTGAATGAACATTATCGGCCGCGTTTCTCCTGTTATAAGATTGGTTGGAAGGAGTCTTGTCACTGCTGTAACATTTTTTCTTTTTTATTTTCTAATTCAACATACAATGGGTATTAGTCAACAATGTGCTCGTAACAATAGCAATATAACAATAGTTAGCCACTACAGTGCTCTATCCAGTGGGCAGGTAAGCATTCCCCTTCTCCCAGAACGGGGAGGCTGCTGGTAGAGTAAATCCTACCTCCGACTTTGTCATAAAAGTCGCTGAAGTTCTTTTAGCTAACAAAGCCTTGAAGGGGGAACAGTTCTGGAGTGCGAGGACCTACGTCAGGAGAATAAACGATGACGGGGCTTACTTCCAGGCGCTGCTCCACAGAGATTTGGTAGGTTCCGCAGACACCTGTCTTGGTCTCGCGTACTACGAAAGAGTCCATCGTCCAGGAAGCTGAAGTGCTACACAAATGGTAACGAGCGCTGTTCTTACACAACAACAGCCGTCAGCAATCGCCTTGCGTCCCCGTAACAACCTCAAGAGAATGCCCTTGAATCACGCCTTTTGACTGCAGAGATGGGTTTTCTCCTTAAGGAGAGACAAACGGTACTGTGTGGATTAAAATCGCAGAGGACCCATCTACTATCTCCACAAACAGTCTCCTAGAAACTCCTCTTGACGAGGGCAGAGAAGGGCAGACTAACCAAGGGGTACCCGGGTGCACAGCGTGCCAGCGGTCAAGGTATGAGTGATCCATCGAGCCAGTACTTTTTAGTAGTCAAGGGCTTACAGGCGGTGGACGACTGTCAGTTAGGTACATCCGAGTCTTGTCGAAAGACTTCGGGTGGTACCCTCCGGATCCTCCTTGACAGCTTCGAAAATAGTGGAGACTTCCACTTCGTGGGGACGTCCCAACAGAGATTTGTATTCCAGGGTCATGTCTCCTGGACAGCCACGATGGTAGTGGTGTCCTCCGCCAATGCACTGCTGATGTTGCGGACAGCTGCCGCTGCTCCAGTGCCGCGGGGCCACTGATAGAACATGATGACCCGAAGATGCTCCTGTGAAACTGACATCGTAATTAGACCCAGGAAAGAGCAGGCGCCCTCACACACCTCTTGCACGAAAGCTCTCAGAATGTTCTACAAGCATGGCATGTTACGTCATGTTCAAGCATCGAGAAAAAAAACTGTAAGCTTTTCAAAAAACACTGACAGGACTTTCCTTCCAACCTATATTTAGTATGACTGACCTGCTTCGTCATCCTGAAACATCTGGAAGTTTTCCGAAAGTTTTCGGAGCTCTCTCAGTCGCTTATCAGTTCGGCCAGTTGCAATACTCAGGGGCTGGGGAGGGGGCAGGGGCGGGTTTCAGGTTGTAGAGCCAGTTTTCAAAACGGGTCGCTGCATGTTGTAGAGATCCATACAGGGACCACGAACGTATGGGTACTTTCGTTTCGCGTTCCTGGAAGACTAAAAAAGGATGAGCAGTAGGCTGATGGTTAGAATGCCCTGGGTGACAAAATTTTGCGCTCCCACAATTTTCACATTCCTGTGCTCAAATAAGTCAGTAACCCTTGTCCGAACAAAAGTGTGGCCCAAATATTTTTTATAGGAAGCATAAGAACTTTCCATCGCCGAAACCGCTGTGAACTCGTGAAATTATTTTTCGCCCTTTCCTGGCATTCTCAGAAGTGTTTATCAGACCAAATTTTTATGGTCCCTTATGAACCTTCAAAATCAGTTCCATGATCTTAAATACCATCATTGACAAGAAAATAGCTACAAGTATGCCGGGATTCAGGAGGAAGTCCAGCGATCAAGCATGCTTGCCATTTCGAGGTCATCACTCCAGACGGGCTAGTTTGAACACCTTAACGAGGCGAGATCGAAACAGGTGACTGCTGCTCTTCCTCTACAGTAAGAGTACTTATATGTCTGTTCACTTCAGGTCTGATCCTTCGTTAAACAACTCGTGTGAGATCCTGTCGATCCGAGAAGACAGTGCATCCGTGAGTAATGCGTCATCGAAAGGCTCCGAAAAGGCGAACGAGAAAATCGCTGCCAAATTCTACCCGGAAGCACTTGGCAGTTCGAGTTACATCGAACGAAATGGTCGACTCAGTCTCACCGTAGTTGTGCAGACCGTCAATCAGGTATGTTCAAGCAATTAAGAAGAGTGGCTGTAATAGAACCATTTTTTCGCTCTTTTCCACTATTATTCGGGCTTACCTGGGAGTCCTCTTGAAATAAATTCAATCAACCTTCATTACGTGAAGATGGTAACCTTCACGTAATCTGTGATGCCCTTTTCTTCAAAGAGCGATGCAGTAATGAGATTTAGGTGATGGAGCGGAATGGAGTCGTGAGATTATGCGAGCTAGCTCTGAACATCGCCGAAACCCTGCTTCGGATACCAATCGATCAAAGCGAAGCGTTGTTTTCCCAATTGACGATCATGATTTTCAGGTTTGTGTTTTCACGAAAGTTGTTGAGTTCTTCTATTTTTGCTTGCAAGCACCACGGAGTAGCCAAAG